ATTGTTTTTTTATATTTTATTACTCAACGTTAAAGACATTAATTGAAGAGGCAAAGTGAACTGGTAACCTTAAAGTTGCAGTAATTTCTCAAGTAAACATTATTAAATCTACTAATTTTACTGCTGTGTCTTTACATCGTGAAACGAACAGAAAATGTTATTGGAAGTAATACATGAAATTTCGATAAACATTATTATTAGACTACAGCTTTATGAAGTAGGCTTAACGACCTATGAAAAAATGGTAGGATTTGCTTTATTTAGAGTACAGCTTCGTGACGTAGGCTTAACTGTGTTACAGAGTTTGCCGTTATTTTTTTCTTCCTTTTAAATGTAACTAATTAAAGGAGATGTCGTTAGTAATACTCGTTTACAGCTGTATAAAAATTCAGTTATACAAAGAAAATATTAAAAAATCACATACTTATCTGCAATGATCCATTAAATTTAAACAGCATCGTATAATATATTTCCATAGGCTCTAAATGTCGGTAATGTGCTTGTTTGTTATTCTTAGGCTTTCAACTACAGTCTATTAATTAAACACAGTCTCACTGCGCAACTCAAAACGCCTTATGCAAAACAGCTTCATGAAAACAACAGTTTTTAGGCCTATTATTTGTAATACTCTGTTATATATATATAGGCAATTTCTGACTTGGCGATAAAATTCTTAAAGGTCTATGTTTAAAATGTATGATGTTCGACATAAATTTAAAAATTGTCTTATATACTTGAATAGAGTTGTTTAACACAGAAATAACAGACCAAACCAAGCCTTTATAAAGGCTTGGTTTGGTCTGTTATTTCATTGGTGGTAGTGTCCAGGGTCACTGATGAGGACTGGAATTCTCTGAAACTAGTCTGGCTCCAGACACACCCCCAATGAAAGAATAGACCATTCCAAGCTTTTACTTGTTTTTAAACAAATGTTTAAACAACTCTTAATGGTTGGAGACGGCTTGAATGGGTAATGAAGAAAAACTTTAATATAAGTTTAACATAACAGCAAATGTACAACGTTTCGACAAGGTTTTGTCATCAATTATGTACCAGTTGCCCAGTGTCGGTTAACAATACGAAGAATTAAATTGTGACGAAATGCTACAAGTTCTTCAAATACCTATAGAATGATAAGTTTCTTTTTTGTGAGTGTAAAACACTTAAATACACCATTTCGAGTCTTATATACTGTTCTGTTTACCAATTTTTTATAAATACTGGTGTATTTCAAATAAAACTTTATACTTCAACTTAATTTTGATAATCAAAAACTTTAGTTTTCAGTTTTTCTCTCTTGAATAGTTAACCATTACCTACGTAAAGCAAACTATGAGGAATTTCACACCTATGGACTTTAGTTAACCATGATGGCTACCTTACCCTCATTGGTTCGTTGAACAGCAGTGTCCAACAGGTCAGCCTCTGTGGGTCCTTGCCCTGATTCGTATATTCGTTTTAAAGTAGAATTTCTATGTCAACGTCCTTATTCTGACTGATACGGACTCAGAGTGTAAGGATTAGCCTTGGATCGCATGTAACATTTGTCTTTTGTAGCTTAATATTCTGGCTTGAAGTCTGAGCGTGCAATTTTCTTACCCTCAAGAACGCGACTAAGCTGAAGCCAGAAGTACTTGTGATATGTTTGTCTTCCAAGTTTCAAATTCGTAGCTTCTGCCAGCTGTATTATTTGGACTTTTCCTTTACTTACATTTTAGGGAACAATTTATTGAACTTACCACGCCATTTTAGCTGCTTTAATGTTCTGCTTAACCGATATTGCCAGTTTTAACCATTCATACGATTAACTGTAGGATAAATTTTGAACATAATCCAGTGTTTCCAGTAGACAAATTAAACTTTGCTTCTTTAAATATATCTAAGCTTTGTAACTTTAATAAAGATTTTAGTCAAGCTTAGAATCATTTAAAGGTTTTATATGGTCATACTGGTTCAGTGTTTTTGTTCAATGATCTACTCTGCATTTTACGTTTTCTTGTGTTTTCTTATTAAAAGCTACATTGTTTTTTGGGTTGTTTTTTTTTGTGAACCAGTGCACTCGTCCTTATTGTCCAAATGTTTCAATCTAAAACTTTCTTAATCAATTCTGTCCGGCGTTTCTCAGCGACTATTATACCCAGTTTGTGAATAGGATGGTTTCAGGTTCGTGTCCCGTTGCCCCAAAACTTCGCCCAGCACTTTGAGGCCGTGGGTACACCATAAAAATGGTCAGACAAGAGTAGTCCAAGGGTTAGCGGTGGATAATGTTGACTAGTTGCCTTCCCTCTTGTCTATAGTTAAAAATAAGGGACAATTATGTGCAGATAGCCCCTGTATAGCTTTGCGCAAAACAACAACAACAAACACACACACACACACACAAATCAATTCCATGAGTCGTGGCCTGTTGCAACACGTTGGTGAAAACTTTGGGAGTAACGAGATACCTTTAAAATCTGCCAGTTGTATATATATATAAATATAATAGTACTGTCTGTTGTTTGTCCATTTAACTACTTCTCAGGGTGTGAATAGATCTTAACCAAAATCACTATGGAGGTTCATTAGGTCCATGCGGGGTATATACAAATCTGCGGTTCACATTTGTGTTTGTAAGT